GTTGCAGAGATACTTATGTTGTATTGAGGCTCACTCTCTCGATCGAGGGGACCGTCCACAACTAACGAATAGTATTTTTTATAGTTTGTTTCCAGTTTAAAGGGGACATCATTGGATATTTTACAGCTCACCATTCCATTTTTACCTCCATCTTTATCAAATACTGAAACGAGAGCAATAGCAGTGCCAGTGGAGGCATCCTCTTTGACGGTGCTTAACAGTGACGTTACTGTGATTTCAGGAGCATTATCATTAACATCCAAGACTTCAATCAATAGTTTGGCATGCGAAGTCATTGGAAAAAGTGCCCCATCGCTGGCTTGCACTCTTATCTCATATGCGTTCTTCTCTTCAAAATCGATATTCTTTATATTTGTAACAGTTCCCGTGATTTTATCTATTTCAAAGATATCTGTTTGTTTTCCTCGACCTACCTCACTGAATGAATATATAATCTCTCCATGTTTTCCTTCATCTAAGTCATCGGCATGTAAGGTTATTATTGACGTACCTACTTTTGCATTTTCATACACCCTAGTTTTATACAGAGTTTGATTGAATACAGGAGCATTATCATTAATGTCCAACACATTCACTATTATTGTCATCGTGCCCGTTTTAGCAGGTGTTCCTCCATCTATCGCAGTCAGCGTGAGCATAATTACGGCTTTCTTTTCTCTGTCTAAAAGTTTCTGAAGAACCAGTTCAGGAGTTATGATCTCTCCTTTATTTGTTTCCAGAGAGAAATACTCATTTTGACTGAGCTTATACAAATTTACAGTGTTTTTACCTACATCTGCATCGTGAGCTGGATGCAGTGGAAATTTTGTCCCCGTTGCTGTGTTCTCAGTAATGTTCAATACCTGCAACTTGCTGAGAAATAAAGGGGAATTATCGTTGACATCTGCTATCGTAATTTCAATATGGTACAGTTTCAGAGGATTATTAATGACAGCTTCTACAGTAAGAGCACATTTAGGATCATTACCGCAGAGCTCCTCACGATCTATTCTCTCATTCACATAGAAGAGACCAGTTTTTAGATTCACCTCAAAATATTTCCTCTTTGATCCAGCAATGACCTTAAACATACGCGACTCCAAATCTTGGACATTTAGGTTGAGATCTTTTGCAACATTCCCGACCACAGTCCCCAGATTCACCTCTTCAGAGACCGTGTAAGAGAGCTGTCCAAAAACCGCTTTCCAATTACAATCCAGCAGCACGAAGGCGAGACATATCCACAAAGAGCTCGATCTTCTCGGAAAATGCATAATTCCATTCACCAAAGGATTTCACATCAACAACTCATATGTAATGTTACCCAGTGGGAAAAATAAAACCCGCCGCAGAAACGAAAAGCGTCAGTTTCGGAAAAATCAGCCTCACGTCGTTCTTTTCACCGTCCCTTTCTCTTTGTTTCAACGACTGAGAAAGATCCTCCTCTGAATATGGGAGGAGTCCGTAACCACATAAAAAATGTGATGGTCTATAATGTCCTCATGTGGACACTTGTAAAAACTACACCGAATATGAAACACTTCGTGCAAAATCCACCGTATAAACATTTCTCGAAGATTTCTTCCAAATATCAAAGTACACGTTTTTCATATCATGCCTCCAACATCGATCACAACATTCTTATTTAAATGCTGATTCAATTCTAGATGCTCATTTTAGAATAAGTGAAGCAATTAACAACACAGAATTTAATTGGAATATGTATTCATTTATTCAATTTAGATTAAAAATAAGAATTTATTATGTTCGTTAATATCACATTTTTTACAGTTCTGCTCTTTGTCATGGTGTTAAAATTCACAGAAAGAGGAATGTGGTCTAATTCTGACCTGTTTATATATCAGAATATTCCTGCATAACCCATTTTAAAGAATTGTATTGTTTCTTTGAGCAGAACAGAATATATATTTTTTATGTATTTATTTATTTATTTATTTATTTATTTATTTATTTATTTATTTATTTATTTATTTATTTATTTATTTATTTATTTATTTATTTAGATGTATATAAAAGCAGGTGAAATGTTATATTTCACCTTTTTAATGTGTCTCATAAAATGTTCATTGAATCTGTTCTTTTACATTCTGACATCATGCAATGTCATTTTTCTTTCCTTTATCCTGTTGGATTAAAAGTATTCTTTATTTTTAAATGCCTTACTAAATTGTAATAACTCATTTGAGTTTATTTATTTGACTGTTTTGATTCAAGCTTATGAGTTTTACAAGATGTATTCTATTTATAATTTCAATTGACAAGTTTTATTTAGATTTTTTTAAATACTTCCAATAAGCACCACAGCTAATGGTCATGGTGGATGTCTTCTATGAGTTATGAAAAATAATTCATATTTATGTGCAGTGGTCTACAGTTGAAATTAATATTACAAAGTCTTTCCTAATGGTGCAGCTTGTGACATTGTTTCCAAGCTTTAAATCTGTTTTGGAGATCACTTCAAAATGAGAAAAAACACAGTGCCCTATTCATGAATCAATCACAAGATACTGTGTACAGCGTCAGTCATAGCCAAACTATGTTCTTACCTTTTCAGTGTTGGGTAAAGTCTGAGTTCTGGTAAAAGTGTCTCCTCCGTTAAT